GAGCTGAAAACAGGTACAGGTATTTTTCACCGCTCATTAATATATTTTAAAAGGTAAACTAAAGCTTCTTTTGCGAAAGGTAAATCGTCTGGATTTGGTATTACGAGTCCATGATCGACATATCCAACAAATGTTCTCGACATTATTCCATTGAACTTGCTATCTAATGGCTATCTCATCCATTGTTAAACAAGCGTACAATTTTTTATCACCAGCAGCTTCACATCTTTGTTTTAATATTTCTACAGTTTCTAAGGAGAACCCAAATGATCCTCTAATACTACCGTACCAACTTTTAATTGTTGATGGAGTTTATTTTCGAACACTGTGCAGATATAATTAAATGTTTTTGGATTGTAAAAATTCACAGTTAGAGCATGCTCGTAATTGAGTTGGGTACATTCTGTTCACCTTTCCTTGTGCAATTTGGTTTATAATCATATGCTTATCTGCAACGGCCTATTATCGAATATTTACATACACATGATCCTAATCCTAACATAGATGACTGCAGTGTTGCTACTGTTCTGTTAGGCTGGATCCTCATACAGACACCGGCGCTTTGACACCGAACGCTTATTGGTGAAAAACGGATGGTGGGAGTAAATAATAAGAAAACGGCGTTAAAGCAACAGCGCTATCATGAGGATTGAGTTTTTCATTATTTTTTGGCGCTTAAACACCAAAGTGTATGTGCCTATGTGTCATCGCAGATATATTCGGATTTCTATCAGAACTGTAGACTTTGTAAACTTGTAATAAAATTATATATAGAAAATTATATGTATGGAAAAGATCGCGTATAAATACAAGTAAGTTAGTCAATTAATTCTAAAAATTATGGAAGTGAATTTATATGTAATTAAAAAGCTTTGTTAAAAGTTTAACAATAATCTAACCTACAATGCTCAACTTATTTTTTAGGCATTTAGACAGTGTTGTTAGAGGATTCATTACGGGCCATTAATTTAAAGAAGAAAAAGAAGACAGGTTAGTGTAAAAACGTACACGTAAATATATAGCGTACATATATACGCATATAAATAAATACACGTAAGTAACAAAACAAAATA